AGTTCGCTGAAAGGACCATGTTCCGTTACTTAGGGGGGGGTCCCTTCTGGCAAGACTCTAAATCCTGGAATCCAAGATCCATCTTTCCATGTGTGTCTTTGGGTTGCCTTGTTTTGAGAAACTGTATTCACAGGACCCCACCCCACACTAATTACTCGGCAAACATCAACAAGATGGAACGTGCCTTCTGGTGGTGGTAGCTGTGGCGCTACTAGCATGCCTCCTCCCCCTGCCTGCTGCAAACTCAACCCGACGAGAACGACAACGATCACTGAGCGCTACCGCTGCCACCACTACGAACGCGATCACCCGCGCCTCAGCCACCACCATGACGCCACAGCAGCAGCAGCAGCAGCAGCAGCAGCAGCAGCAGCGATGGTTTAGGCATTAGGATTAGTAGTGGTGGTGGCTTTGGAATTCCTTCTGGGCTCCTCCTCATCAGCAACATCGGAGCCCGCTTCCCTCACAGCTGCCTGTCTCTGAGCAGAAGTTGGAAGCATACAATACCGACTTGAGAAGGTGCTCCGGTTTCGTCTTACCCTGCTATCCGATTGATCAAAGATGTCCCTGATTTTAGGTGCTACGGGACGGGAACCATCCGAACTTCTTGGTGATCACCAGAGCAGAACCCAGGGCTTGGGGTTGCCGCCCTCGAGAAAGTCGCTGCTTCGCGCGTAAACATATTGTCAAATTGCCCAGGCTAGTGCAAGGGTGCGGGGATGGTGGGGGTTGGGGGCTTGGGGCTTGAAAAATTTCAGGACGGTTCAGGGCTTACTTGGCGACACTTTGAAGGCCTGAATCTCGGCACAACATGCAGCCTCAGAAATCCCTACATTACTTGTGGCCCTTGTGTCAGAAGGCCCGGATCCCCTGATCCCCAAGCCTGTGCATCAACTTGCACCATATGAAATTGTGCAAGGGAGGCACATCTCCCGTGACGCCCAAGCCTCATCGTCCCAAGCATTGCCAGCAGACAGTGCAGACCTGCCACAATACATGGCTTCGGTTTTAGGGCCAGACACGGCAGTTTCCTAAAGGGGCCTTTCGCTCATTCAGCTTGCCCAAAGTAAGCACCTGCCTGAACTGCCATTCGCCCGTCCACTCTCTTCAGTCTCAAATTCCGCATCATGCCCGCGAGGCCCTCACCAGCAGCACAACACCATAGGTTGAGAGGGGTGTTGCTCCTATCCTATTCTATGTATGCATTCTTCCGTAGCGCCACTTCTAGTATCTCTCGTTATCAGGCCTGCGTACAACCATGCATGCTGTTAGCATGTCCCTGCCGCTTGGGGGACTTTTCTATATGGAGCCGTGTATATGAAGACTCTTAAGCAGATTAGGACTCAGCCAAGACCCTGCAGCTCCAAAGCTTACGTACATATCGGGCCCTAAACCTTCCAACGTTGAACCCCAACCTACCCGTTCGCCCCTCCCTCGAAGCCTCAGCCCAGGTTCCATGCTGCTGCATGCTAGGCTACTGGCTAATTAGGGTGCAGGCTTCGGTTTGCCTTGGCTGAGGGGTCTGGGGTAGGGAACTGCAGGCTTTGGAACTGGTGGCGTACGCTTGGCGGTTTGGAGCTTGAACATCTGTGCCGCAAGGCCTAGGTCTGGGGATGTTGAAAAAGGTTTGCTGGCTGTACCCTTTGAACGCTCACTTGCAGATGTCTCGACACCATGGGACCCGTTCGGGAGGTTCCTTTAAGAGGGGAACCACATAGTAAGGGCTCTATGAGTCTGGAGGGCTAACACCCTAAACTGTGCAACCATTGATCCATCCGAGCCACATGAAACGGCGCCAAGCAACGCGACCCGGGATAGGAGTCTGGCTTGGGATCCGGTCTTAAGGTTCAGTCAGGTTCAAGCTGGCATGAAGAAGGATGAAATCGGACAATTGCTGTACAAGCCAACCCATCCAGATAGGGGGAGTATGAAAGGCTTGCGTTATCTACAATCAAGAATCAGCTCCTGACATCCAGGTAAGCTTACGAAACACCTCGGAATCCAAAAAGTTATCCAGTCTGATGATAACCTACTCACTTTCGTCGTCATAGGAATCACATGACAACCCCCGAATTAAGAAAACAAAATGTGCTCTCTTTGTATGCCAGCATTCAAGACTTAACCAAACCCAAGACTACAATCCT